TCTTGGGCTTAGGTAGATGCCAAAATTTTTCCTTGAAATTTTTTCATTCTACATGTACACGTACATCTGATAATGTGGGATACTGCTAAGGTGTGTGTCTAATGCATGTAATTATGCGAAATGTACTGTACATTTACATGGTGAATACAATCAGGAATGTTTTACATCCCAGATCCACATTACACAGCCAAGAATTTTCATGCCTGATCCAGGGCTGTTGCCCAAAATTACTGGATCAGGCCTGATATCAGTGCTGGTAACAGCCCTGAAAGCCATCATTGCTGAATCATAAAAATCAGTCTGACCTGATCCAGTGTAGATGCTTATTATGCCTGTACCGTGGCTGACTCCATGATTGTATCAGGACTGATTGCCCAAAATCCATTGTCCATGTCAATATCAGGACTAATTCAGACTGAATCAGTCCTGATCCACGTGCCAACTCTTGGCTGTGTAACTTTTAATTTTCTGATGACGAATCCTTTTATGCTTAGTGTATGCTGTAGATGTACATGTACATGTGTCATTGATTTCATGATGTTTTTATTTAACAGGTTATGACTGTCCTCTTGCCAGTACTAGTAGTAGCAACAGCACTGTGGGTCAAGTAAGTAATGCTTTTGGTAAGGATACCAATGAGGTAGTCTCTTCTGTCATTGGTATATTGGTAATGCTTGTGACAGTGGTATATGCCTGGTAAGTGATACTGTATACCTGGCTGTCATTATAATGTTCCTCCTTAAGCGTTTACTTGTCAAATAACAAGCAGCTTCAGAAACTTCGTGGCAATCACAAAGACGAGTCCGAGGTATGCTCAGTGATAATTGTAGTCTTTTTTTTAGAGTCAGTTCAACCTGCTCTCTTTCTCTCCCCCCCACTCTGTATTATAGTCAGCACTGTTGGGCGGTTACTCTAGTCATGGTTAGTAATTCTTTTTTTAACAATAGGGCTTTATCGTTCTTTGCTGTGATCAATGTTGCCCCGATGCAACAGAAGCACAAGAGATAGATGATAAAGACACAGACACTGATGTGAAAGAATCCAAGATGAAAGTGGCCGATGATGAGACTGAGCATGTCACCTACTCTTATTCCTTCTTCCACTTCATGATGGTGATATCAATCCTTTTTGTAAAGATACAACTGACTATTTGGTACAAGTAAATTAAAAAATAATGGCTGTTCAACTCCCTCTTTACCGTTACCTTTATTTTTCTTTTTCCTATTGCTCTATCTCTCAAGTTTTTTCTCAGTCCTGGATAGCTGAGTCTGACAGGTTCCAGAACACATGGGCCTCAGTTTGGATTAAGATGTCATCTGCTTGGCTGTGCTTTGTTGTGTATCTCTGTACA